GATGGGAATTGTGTTTCTAGATTTTTTTTTAATATTTCTTACTATGCTACTCAGATTCCATTGGTAAAAATAAATTTCCTTGGCTTGAGTCAGTTTTTCCCATAATAGTAATTGCTGGGTGATCTTCCTGTCATTATGTCATAAGCCCTTAATCATGTTTTTTGCCCCTTTTCCAGTTGAGAGGCAATGATAGAGCAAGTTTGTGGCCATCTTGCTGTAAGTCAAGCTCAAGGCTACACAGATGCTTATCATTTATATTGGCTAAGTTGGGAAAACAAGCCAAGGTCCCTTTCCAATACCTTGTTTTTTCTTCCTTTGTCTTGCGTGTCTGTGTGTGTGTGTTCAGTGGGGTTTTTGGGGTGGATGGTTTTTTATGTGTGTGGTTGATGGTGTATCCTGAATATAATTCCTGATGGAATATCCTGAGGTGGAAGAGACTCACCATCAGAATCATGGAGGTTGGAAAACACCTTTAAGATCATCAAGTCCAGTATTTAACTGAAAACCATAATGTCAGCTAAACAATAGCCCAAAGTGACACATCCAGTCATTTCTTGAATACTTCCAGGGATGGTAACTCCGTCACTTCCATCCTTGTGGATTTCCAGGACTTCACTGGATTTGGTAGAGAGGAAGATTCAGACCAGTTTTGATGAGAGGATTTGACTAGATGAGCTCTGGAAATCTTGGTTCTTAAGCTGATTCAGTGATTCTTACTAGGACTAATACACATGAGTATGGATTTGCCAAGGAAAAATTAAGCCACATGACTTTCTTTAATAAATAATAGTTGGATTTGCAGTGAAGTGGAGTAGTAGGTCTCATTTACTGCCTCTTGAACACGGCTTTCAACACTGTCTCCCACCCAGTTCCTGTGTCAGAGGTAGGATGTGTGCCTGCTGGCATGTCTGCCCTCTGCATGGACTAGAGGAGCAGGTGATGGGAACCTCAGGAATTTCAGCAGTGATAAATGCCTTGTCTTGGGCCACCCCTTACACGATGGGATGGCGAGCAGTTCCGTGGGGTGGCTGTAGGCCCTGGCAGGCATTGCCCTGGGATGTGTGACAGAACTCTGTTGAGGTGAGATTGTCTGCCTCTGCTCAGCACTCCTTAGATCTCAAATTGACATGACCAGTTCTGAGTCCTTGTGTAGGGAGAGATAGTGACCACAAGGACTGAATTCAGCTGAGATCATTGAGGTAATGGGGCTGGGGCCCTTGCCCTGGGAGGAGAGGCTGTGGTTTCTAGGACTTTAAGTTGGGAGGAGGGAAGGCTGAACAGTGGTACCCAGAAGCAGCCCTGGCACCAATGGGAGGGGGATGAATGAAGGCACAGCTAAGTGCTTCACAGGAGTTCATGACAAAAAGAGCTAAAGATGAGTGATGGAGATAAAGATTTTGTTGATCAGGACAGCTCAGTCAAGTGGTGCCTTCCCTGATCTTGAGAGGTTTTCAAAGTCAAACTGGGGCAAAGCCTTGAGCAACTGACTGCATGGTTTGACTATATGTCTGAACTTCCTTTGAATGGGAGGCTGAACAAAAAGCATCTTTAGATCTCTGCCAGTCTTGATTATCCATGTATCCTGTTAACTTCACTGGCATTCCATGTGCATACACAGTTTTCTCTGCTAGGAGTGAATGCTGAAGACTGAAAACTGTTTAGGTAATATTTAATTTAATTGCACTAATGCTATTGCATTGTAACTATCCTGTAAATGTTTAGTTTAGATTGATTGATCGAAATTTAGGATTTGTGTCTGATGCAAGGGCAACGAACTTCTAGTCTGTATGGAATAGCTGATTTGTGCTTGCATTAAGAGTATGTTCTGTGTTTGTAATGATCCTTTGTAGTAGTTTTTCCTTTTAATGCAGGTAAAAAAATTACCTGATGAGAAGTACAATATAATTCCATTGTTTTCATGTCAAAACTGCCCAGGAGGGAACATTACCTCATTTTGCTGCTTGTCGGGTAGAACTGAGGGGGCTTTGAATGTATTTATAAAAATAGGCCAATACAGCTAGATCCACTGGAGTTTTTAGCCATGCTCAACAGATCTAGGTATGTCTGGAATTGTTTGCTGTAGTAATCATTTTTTATTTTTTTTTTAAATCAAGATATCATTTATAGTTTAATGTGTGTTTATTTATTATATGGACACTTATTGTCTCAAAATGCCTGTTCTAAAACTATACAAACCCATCCCAGCATCAGTGTTGGTCTTTTTCTCCTCCACTCTGAGACATGTAATCCACAGGTGTATGGGAATACCTCACTGATTAACTGCAAGGAATTTGTGTTCACTGACCTATTAATGTAACTGTTAATTTTGAGTTTTTCTGCCACAAATGGTAATTTTTTGTGGCACATGCTGCATTGCTTGTATCCAGGCTTTAATTCCATCTCTTTTTAAATCAGTGGCAAGATTCTGAATGCATCACATTGATTTATCACACTGATAAATTCTTGGAATTTGAGTATTTTGCATGTATATATTTCCTCAGTGCTTATTGCAAAGGATTACAATTAGGTTTCCAACAAGTACTATTTTTTTTTGGAAGGAAGCCATTCCAAGCCACTGGAGGTGAGTTTATAATGAACTGAAATATCTGAGTATTTGCAGTGGCCTTCAGTTTCATTGAAGGTGCAACAAACTGATTTCTAATTTCTCATTAAAGAGAAATTAGAAGTCAGTTTGTTGCACGCCAGTATGCATGCAGTGTTGTACACCAGTGTTTGTTGCACACCAGTGTTGCATACAATGTTGATGTGTACTTGTGAGTACCTGCATATTCTAACTTACAGAGAAGGTTTTCACTTCAAGTATTCCAGCCCCTAACTACAGTTACAACTTACAGTCTCACAAGTTGGTCTTTTGTTTGTTTTGCTTCTGGTTTTGCATGAAATGATGGAAAGTTTGTGGATAATTTTGCATTTTAAATCATATTTCTGAGACTGTGAACACTCCTTTTAAGCTGTCTCATTTTCAAGTCAATGAAATATACTTAAAATGCTCTCAAGAATACATGCTGTCCAGAGTACACATATGCCGTGCCATATGGAATAGTATATTTGTTGCAGCTTTAAGAAATGTCTATAACCCATTCTTTGTGCAGGACCAGTGAGTATTCACCATTTCTTGGGTTCAAGCCCAAAAGACAAGGTGATATGATAAGACTTCAGAGGGGGAAGAAAATGCTTTAACGCTTGCATCTGTTGTTAAATACAACATAAATCTGGGGGGTGAGGGAGGGTGTAGAAAATAGCATGCTGTCCTTCCTTATCCTGGCTATATTTTTTTAATGTCTCTTGCAGAGTGAAATTTAGTGTCATATGACGGAGCCAAAATGTTGGATGACATCAAGAAGCGATTTGAATTTCCCAATGCCGTTGTTCAGTCACAGGTAATTTTTTAAAATCATTAAAACAGATGAAGTTGTCTGTGGAAATATTTGTTCCAACAGCTGCTGCTTATCGACCTGTTTTTTTTTTCAAAGTCAGAAAACCAGAGAAACAGAGTATTCTTAAATCACAATCAAATCCTAATTGCCCTCTCTCTGTAATGGAAACATAGGACATAATTGCTCATCACTATAAAGTCTCTTCAGGAAAATCAGAAACTTTGCATGACTGGAAGGTTGGAGTGTGGCCAAGTGGTTTTTAGTGACCTTGTGATGTCAAGAGAAGCCAGAAATTACCAGATACCATGTGTGGGGTTGAAATACTTTGCAATATTTCATAGAACTGCTCTGTTTCTTCCTTGGTGATGACAACTGATGAACTACTTCAGTCTTGTCTGTCATCAGGGGATACAGCTCAGCTCAGCCCCCTTTATTTTCTGATCCATGCAATGGCTCCTTGTCATTTTCACCTGAAATGATGTACAAAAAGTTTTTATCATAGTATGGTCAGTGGACAGGAAAGAGTGATAGCAATAATAGTCTCTGCTGAAAACATACGCCTTCTTTGCTTTGGCCATTTTTCATTTCAGCATTAAAAATATATCTCTTTGGCTGTTATTTCATTGCATTTGCCTGTTTTCTTCCTTATCCTGTTTTGAATTTAGGATTAAATGTGCACCCATTTGTTTGGTGAAATGAGTTGATCAGAATACGGTCTGTGCAACCTGGTGCCTCTCTTGCCTCTTCATTTCAGTCAGTTCACCTTGGTTTGAAATAAAGATGCATAAGCCCACTTGCCGTCAACTTGGTGTTCGGGAGAGAAAGCCATGTCCCTGAAAGCTGGAGTTCATCTAATGTCTAGCAAAGTGTCTTGTACTGCAGATGAGTTTATATCATTACTAGACTTGATAAGCAGGACTCAGCATCTTTGAAGTTAATTTTTCTTTAGTGCAGAATGTCCCCATGGTACATGGTTGTGTTGCTTAAATGTCTTGGCTCATTATTACAGCTGCACATCATTAAAGTCTACTAATGTGCTTTGGTTGATTTTGTCCTGTGCTTTGGCTGTTTTACTTGTATTCTGTGATCCATGGAAAGCCTTCTGTGATCTTCCCACTATAATCAGGTCCGGATTCAACTTAACGAGAGATGTCTTCTCTTTCTTCTAACCACGATACCTGCTCTGCAGAGTGTGTAGTCTACACATGATCAGAAAAGTGAGGAACTTGAGCACAGATTTGTAGGTCATAAAGTTATACTGCTTAATCAAGTTCCAGAAATGCAGGGGGTTACTCTCTATTTTGGCTTTTCTGTATAGCTAGGTCACTGCAAAAGCCAAGTTTCTGTTGATAAGCCCCTTTTCCTGTGTAGCTGAAGTGTCTTAAGGATGTCGGTGTGAACATCTTGTTTTGGTTTGAAAAGACAGATGTCTGCTAAGGAAGGCAGGAGCCTCTCTTGAAATAGAAAATGTAAACCCCCTCCCTCTGAATTATTACAGTTTTGAAATTAAAGGGCTCTCAGGCAAGATATGGAAGTAGGAATAACAGTTCCTTATTAGCATGTATAAATAAAAAAAACTACAGTTAAATAGGAAAATTAAAATAAAATACAGTAGTACGAAAAACACTGTCAGAGTCAGAATACAACCTGATACCCTGTTGGTCAAGGTGTTGGTAGCATTCCAATTAAATGGTGGCTGCAGCCCTCCTGGAGTGACAAATGTGGTTCTTTGGAAGCAACGATGGGTCATTGAGTTTTCCTCTGAAGATCCAGTGGTGGTGTAGAACAGTTTGATCTTCTGGGAATCCAGTGGAAAAAGGAATGTGGTGTTCTAGTCTCAGATTATATCCAGGTAGGAATGCTTGGCTCCTCCCCCTGGGTGGAGCATCTCCCAATGGGATGATGTAATTTTATCAGCCACACAGTGAGACTCACTGGCCCATTAACAGGAGATAGCCCCCTGGAGGGAGGATGGGTTGTGGAAGAGATAAAGAACACTGCCCCAGCTGGTTTTAACAGATGATTATAGAATTCACAGTTTTGGTTACATCTTGCATTGCAACCTAAGATATTTCTAAAAGCCC